CAGCATTTTCCATTTTTCTACGCTAAACAGAATTGGTGCAACTGACAAAAAATGTTTTTAAATCATTTCAGTTATTAATGTTGGTCATGTCTTTTTACACATTTAAGCGCTGTTATTCAGATCATATATCTATTGGAGTTTTACCTGGCTGCATCTTTAGCTGCTGCTTTAATGATGTCATTTGGGGTAGGGCCACCAATCCTTTTAAACTTTATTCCCTAGAAAATAAGGCAAAATATAAATTTCTGCATCAAGTTAAAAAAGAATAAATTAATAACTTATATACAATTATTACGTTTTAAAATGATATATTCAATTACATAATGTCTAAAATAAGATAATCTAAATAAGATTTTAATATTTCCTAGTTGATTGGATTGGACATGAGCTAGTCAAATTACCAGACATTTTATAAATGAAAAGCACTTGCTATTAACTGGGTTTATCATAGTTTACTCCATATACAGGAGAGTCTACATTAAAAGTGTGATGTGACAAAAGCCCTTAGATTTCTTGACAATTTCAAACATTACCACCTTTCAACTCAAAATTCAACATAACTCAATTCAAGTTCAAGCATTCCCTAAAATAAATCACAATCATCATCATCTTACAGCTTTATGCTCCACCCACTGCAGATCCCTCTCCTCCTGGAATTTATAAAAGCAGATACAGACGCCCTCTCTCCCTGCTCTGCCGGTCCTGCCAGACCTGTGAATGTACGACTCCACGTCCTTGGGCGGACTGCACTGGATGACCAGGTCCACCTCTGGGATGTCCAGACCACGCGCAGCTACATCTGTGGTTACCAGGCAACGGTACTTCCCTTCTCTGAATTTCTGTAAGCAATATAGATGATATTCAGTTCTGTTGAAAGTTATTGTACAAGTGGACATTAATAATGAGCTGCTTTGGTAGAGGTCTGCACTTTCTGAGTGCTTTCCTATTTCTGTGTTACCTTATCTTCAGCACCATCTTTCTCTTTTCTATTTCTATATAACCTTACCTTCAGCACCATCTCTCTCTTCTCCTGTGGAACGTCCCCATGGAGGACATGGGCCTCCACTTTGATGTCAGAGCTGACGGCCAGCTCATCAGCATCCCTCTTGGTCTGACAGAAGACCATGGCTCTGCCGTGGTTCCCACTGTACACCTGTATCACTGCACCTATGGTGGCTGCCCTGTCCTGATACCCACACTTAATAGCCATGTGCTGGAATGTCACCACACAAAATGATCATCTCACAATATGGTATTGTTTTCATGTCAGTTCATAGTGTTCAATACAAAATATTACAAAATTTATGTCCAATGATGGAGTCTGAAGTCAACAAATGCCAAATGCTGTGTATTTTAGTTTTTCACAGCAGTAACTAAATAATCAGAAAATTATTAAGTGTATAAAATATTCCAATATTCCTCAATCTTTAACCAAGATACATTATAACCTTGAAGCACTTAACAAAAATGTACATCTGCAAGCATGACCATCACATATTGATGTTCAATACACCTGTACAGGTGTTAAAAGGTGTTTACCAGTCCTCACCTGAACAGTGGTGGCAGTCCTGATGTCCTGGTTTCCAATCAAGTCCACGTGTTTCACGTCTCCCTTCATGTACTTCTGGGCTGTCTTGTGAACCCAGGGGGGCAGGGTGGCTGAGAACAGCAGGGTCTGGGGGGTATCAGGACTGCCAGCCAGGGCATCAGCTACACCACCTGACATGACATAGCAGATTTACTATTTTTATCTTTTTGTAATGCAAAATATATCTTCTTATTGTAGTGGTTGTTTGTGAGAATCTACTGAGAAAAATACCTGCTAAATGACAGATTTAATAACCTAAAATCCATGTCAGCAACAGACATAAAACTATTCATTTCCCAAAAGGTATCTGTCCCTGCCACTAACCTAAATTTAGGAATTTATATAAGTTTTAATCTATTCTATAAAAGCTAATTTTTAACACCCGATTTACTTACAACACAGACGTAACTAATTAACATTCACAAAATAATATCAAGTCTAGGCCAAAGTCAAAACCATCCATTTTACCTGTCTTGTACGCTGCCTGTAATATTTCCTCCACGGACTCCGTGAACCCCATGTCCAGCATCCTGTCCACCTCGTCCAGGACCACGTGCCTCAGGTGGGCCAGGTCCAGGGTACCCTTGCGGACATAGTCCAGGATACGGCCAGGTGTCCCCACAAGAATGTCCAGACCCTTCCTGATGGCTTGCTCTGAAGACAAAAGCAATCAACTCTGCTGACTAGATGAAACTTGGTATTAAGTGTTTCAAAAGCTTAAGGTAACCGTTCTGCTGGACATCAAAATTATAGAGGTACAAATTATTTCAATATAAAGCTGTTGACTGAAGAAAAATTACTTCATTCTAAAAGGTAACTGCGAAGTAAATGTTTTGTCAATTGTGCCTCAACATTCATGTCTCTTTATACTGTTACGGTGTGATTGCCAACATTAACTGGTAGAATATCTGAATCTCTCAAGGGGTCTTCTATGTTCCAAACAGAAAATATTAAGATAATAGTGAAAAACTGCTATCATATTAACTGTACCAGTATATACAGACATTTTTCAAGTGTTATGACATTTCCTCAATTTCATGCTAAGATTGTCATATTGATGTAAATTCTATCATTAACCAAGACATGTAAAAATATGGCATGCGGTTTATGCTTCTGAACACAGGAAATAAAAAATCTGATCTTGTAAGCTAAGTTTTATTTTCTCCCCCATCCTAGTGGGAGTGGTTTTCCTTACCCTGGGGAGCAAAGGCTGTACCTCCATATATACAGAACACCTTCAGGGTCTCTGTTATGGACTCAAAGTCTTCACTGACTTGCTTTGCTAGCTCTCTGGTGGGGGCCATCACCAAAACCTGCAGTGGAAGATAACCAAAATATGTTACATATTGTAATTTTATACTATTAACAAATTAATTAATCATACAACACACATTTATTGCTAAGATTGCTATTGCTAAGTCTGTCATGATTAATGCAACAGATAATTACAGTTTAAATATCATTTCTCAATATTGAAAATAAAAAATTAAGTTGAACAACAAGTCAGATTGAAATGTTTACCTTGGGTGGTCTTCCATGCTTCCCCTTGGTCCCCTCTAACTGCAGCTTCTCTACCAGTGGTAGGGCAAATGATAACTGAAACAAAGTTCATCTCTTAGCAGCAATTCAACATTGAAACCTATTGGTACATTATCTGTTGTGGCTTGCTCCCACTGAAAATGTTGAATAAAAGCTAAACTTAACAACTTGTGATAAAATAAAAGTCTATAACATTATATATTACTTTAAAGGACTTTAAAAATAAAAAATACTCACTGTTTTACCAGTTCCAGTTCCTGAAAAATAGATCAAAATTACCAAATACCAGTATTAGTCTTGTGGTGATAAGTATTAAGTATAATTCAATAATACTCAGCAATAAGCCAGAAATTAAGCTTTACATTTACTTTTCTAATGTACAGGACATAAAAGAATTGAAATTTTAGGATAAATAGTATAAAATTTGTAAATTGTAAACTAAAGACCCGTAAAATCCATAAAGTCACACTATGTAAAGAACTCACTGGCTTGAGCAATGACATCAAAGCCATCATAAACATGGTCGAATGTCTGTGCTTGGATTGGAAATAAGTACGTCACACTGCGCCCTGGAAATAAAACAGGTAAACTACACTGCAAAATGAACTAAACTAGGGTAATTCATTTACAACTGAATGCTCAACATGGTTATTTGGGATCAAAACCACCAATCTTTTTAACTGTTTATTCTGAAATTAATTTAGACAATATTTTAAATCAGAGAGAGAACACTACATTTCTTACCCTGTAATTTTTCAACCATTGGATTAGATATCCTGAATTTACTGAAAGCTCCATCTTGTTGCTCTTGGGTCAGTTCTGGAAGATCTATGGATGGTGGGGTCTCCTCCTCCTCTGTTGTTTTTGCCTTTTTCGAGGATTGTTTTCCATTTATTTCAGTTTTTGCTTTCTTAGGGGACACTTCACCATTCTCTTCAACTTCTGCAGCTTCTGCTTTTCGTTTTCTTTCTTTATCTTTTTTCTCTTTTTTCTTTTTCTGAAAACAATAAGACCTGGTGCTGAGTCGAATACAAAACAGCTGGTGAATACAAAAGATGAGGCGTGTTAATATTAACTGATTGCATTAAGTCTCATGGAGTTGGATCAATCTACATAGAGCTATTACTTCAGTCTCGTGAGCATTTCTGTAGAATGAGGACAGTCAAGAGTTTCAATTCCTATTTGAGCCATCTGCTGAGGAAAAAGAACAACTGCCTATACTAAGCCACTGATAGTCTTTGATTCCCATTGCCATGTGGATAAAATGAGGGGGAAATTTGGGCTCTCCCACATAGCTGGGAACATGGACATCTTGGGGCCACTACCTGTCCTTGAGAGCAAGGTCACCATAGCTGGGGTAGTTGCAGTGTGATCCCCTTACATATCCCAGAGAGGAGGAAATCACAACGATCAGAGCAGAAGGAGCATTTGTAGCAGTAGGATATCACCCATGACACTGTAAACACACATTTACACCAGTGGAGTGGGGAAAATTCAAAAAGGCAGTGGTGTCGCCACACTTGGTGAGGGTAGGCACCGAACTTTCGGGTGAGTGGGATACTCAGAATCAAAATCTTGACAGGGCAGTCAGGCTTGAAGGTAGGCAAGTTCTGGTCCTGCAAGGCCCGAGGTCTGCACAACAACTCTGCTGTAGATGACGCTGTGTGGCACACTATATTAAATAGTCGCAGAAAAGATACCTGATCCACTGCCACTGTTTCAAAGGGTCAGAAGAAATAGTGAAAACCTGGTTGGGTTATTTTCCCAATATATATCTTGGGGTAACTGGTACATATGTGTTCTTTGATGAGAACAATAATGCTGCTAGAAATTGGTTCTGCAACCAAGGCATATTATGGAGCAATGTCGCATAGGGTGTGTTTTAAGGGACACAAAACCTAAGTTGTATATATGGGGTGCACTGGTGTCCCCCGTCATAACCTATGGAACTAACTCTATCTGTATGTCTCGTAAAAATATAAAAGACCTGGATACATTACAAAACAAACACGTCACAAGATTCATGGGTTTATCTTTGCGTTCTCATACCTCTGCTCTCCTAGAAGCCATACATATTCTGAAAATTAGTTATACTATATCTAGAAATGTAGAATCACTATACCACAGGGTAATGAGCATTGACACACCATATCTTAAACTTTAAACTCATCAACTGTCTCATTTTCTGCTTAATTGTTTCATAGTGAAGGGGTCGTTGCTCCAGAAGATTGTTTCTGCTGCGCTTGGAGGAGATTGGGGGAGAGGTGTTGTAAAGTGCTGTGACTTCCTATGACACACAAAAATTTTGTGAAAGACGAGATCTTGGTGTACTCACTAACACTGAGGTATATATGTAGACGTGTGTTGAGTTTATACCGACTTAAAATAGTGGTAATTGATGACAGGACTTGACAGTGTGATGGACAAATATTCATACACTTATATCTCAGTTGCCAGCAAAATCCCTGGAATTTTAGTACTATAGTAGAAATTAGAATGCTACTCAAAACAGGGAGAGATGAAAAAAGGGGTTCCAATACAAGTTCGAGTTATTAAACTTAAATTCCCCTGTCAGTATCAGACAAAAACACAAGAGTGAATATATAAAGTTGAACAGGTAAACTGGCTGATTCTTTGAAATGTAGAGAGGGTTAAAGGAGAGGGAAAGTACTAAAATAATAGGTACTTTTGTAGTATACCCCCCCACCCTGTAACTTTCTGTAACTTTCACTTTTCAAACAGTTTTTTACATTTTCTTGTTCATCTATGTCAAAGCTGTTGAAGTAAAATGCTTTTGTAATTACCTGTGGACTTTTTATTTGTTTTAATCACGTTTAATCCACCCCATTGAAATACAATGTTAGAATCTTCAATTTACACCCGCAGTCAATAACTTGCCGCGTTTTCGTTGGCTAACTCTAAGGCAATTTTATGTGAACAAGTAGCTCATAATAATTTCACAGAGGAAGTCCAAGTATACAATGTATCAATCCTATGTTCACATAAAATAAGGTAGAGTTAGCCAACGAAAATGCGGCAAGTTATTGACTGTGGGTACATTGTAAATTTTCACATTGTATTTCAATGGGGTGGATTAAACGTGATTAAAACTAATAAAAAGACCACAGGTAATTACAAAAACATTTTATTTCAACAGTTTTGACATAGGTGAAAAAGACAATGTAAAAAAATGTTTGAAAAATGAAAGTTTCAGGAAGTTACAGGGTGGGGGGTATACTACAAAAGTACCATAACCATTTTATTTGTCAGCCATACGCCAGAAATATTTGACCGACTAAGACCCATGTCACGTGTAATAATAACCATTTTATTTGTCAACCATACGCCAGAAATATTTGACCGACTAAGACCCATTTTACGTACTTAACTTAAGTAACAAGGGGTATGATGAACACGTGTAGATAGCCATTTCAATCGATTGTGTGATTCACTGATTGTGAAAGACAGGCTACCATTTTAATCTTGGTCTTTGAAATCATTAAACAACAAACCTACCTTGTCTTTACTCTTCTTCTCTTTTTTGGCCACAACATTATCTACAACATCCGCTGTATCATCTTCTCTTAGCTGAGCCATTTCATTCACAAATTGAGGTTCCTTTGAGATTTCTGTGTACACGTGAAACACACCACATGGAAAAGATCGCTTAAGCAATAAAACTGATATAATATAACTTTTTCTTGGTGTTTGAGAGTTAGTCAGTTAAAAAAATTCAACTATTTGTTAATATAATATAATAAAATGTTTCAGAAAATCATTCACAAGTACCCTTGAGAATCTGTGGTATATTTTTTTAATGTTTTAAGCGATATGCGCATAACATGTGCGCATTTTAAATGCCGCTAATTTCATTGTAACCTTCATAGAGCATATTTAGCGCAAAATAATACTACTTGTAACCTACATAATCTTTATCTCATAAAACCTGTGATAATGCCAGATGTTAAGCTGAACTTGGTAGTTGCCATGTGCAACAACAGGGGCATTGGTATAAACGGTCAATTACCTTGGAGGTTAAGGTAAGTGGAGTGCAAGCGCGAAGACTACCAGTACTATATCAGTAAATGTAACTGCAACTTGTTAGTGTTACTGTCAGTAGTAGTAGTAAGTAGTGCTACGCTGCACATACTTAGGTTTACCATTGGAAGTTAAAACACAAAATATACAGAATTAGGTCAAATAATATCTATGACACGTGGAGTACAATAGTATGAAAATTTTAAATAATTGTAATCCAGAGATTTTTAATACAGCAAAATTCTTAATGCATTTATTTTAACTTTTTTTGGTGTGAAGATGTGTGGTGGTATTCAGTAGAGATACAGTGTACTTATGCTATATATTGATATAGACATGATATACATGTACATGGTAGTATGTATCAGTTCTTGTTTTTTTTATTTATATTTATTGGTTTAAACATTTTAGGGGAGATATGAATTTTTTCAAGAAAATTACATCAGAAACAAAAGACCCAGGTATGACTCTCGACTCACTTGATTTTTAACTCTGATGAATGCTTTTACATATGCACTTAGAGTACTTTTGTCCATTTTTTCCTTTGCAATTAGAAAGTGTTCCTTTCATATTGTCAAATTTTATCAATAGCAATGCAGAACAACTGTGTATTTTATAGTGTGAAGTTGTATTCTATATTTTATTTATTAACAGAACTTCATGGCCAGAGTTTTATTTCAGACAAGAAAAACGCTGTCATTATGGGAAGGAAAACATGGTTCTCTATACCAGAGAAGTTTAGACCACTTGCCAACCGAATAAATGTAGTTCTCAGTAGAGAAATGAAGTGAGTATAATACATGTATTTCTGCATTATACCTTAAGGCAGTTTAAAAGATGAGTACTGTGGTTAGTCATAGATTATGTGTCAAATTATCATCTGTCAGATTTAGTTTTTGGTGATATTTATGGTACAGATCAGAAAGCTTGTTCAGTATAGTAATGGTGGTGATGAAAAGCATTGGTTTTTGTTTTACTATCAAGCAAATCAAAGGACAGTGTTGTCCACTAAATTATGATGTTACATTTTTTCAGAGATAGTCCAGATGGAGCTCATATATCTAGAAGTCTTGAAGATGCTTTGAGTCTTCTGTCGACTCCACCTTTGTCAGATAAAGTGGAGAGCTTGTTCGTCATTGGTGGAAGTGCAATATATGAGGTAGATATAAATACTTGGATGCTTTTAACCTTTAGACATATAAGGCATATGACTTTTTATCAGGAATTATAGAACAATTATCTGTTTCAAAAATGCTATCTTGAATAAAAGCCATCCACAGTAGTAGCCATGCCTTTTTATTTCATGATGAAATTGTTAATGAGAACAAAACTTGTTTGTGGGGATAACCACTTGGTGATGTCAAAGAAGACAAGAAAACATGCAAATATCCCAAATAACCTTGCTTGATTTGACAATTTTTAAGAGTGGGTTGTCTTGGACTATCCCCATAATAAAACGTATCAGGTGGGGCTATTTTCAAGAATTCACTTGTTTCCATTTCCAGATGGCTCTGAAATCTCCCCAGTGTCATAGAATCTACTTAACCAGAGTGATGGCAGACTTTGAGTGTGACACATTCCTACCAGACTTTGCACAAGACAAGTTTGCTATGGTCAGGTTGGTATGTAGCTTAGATACAACAGACTAAAACATGTTGTCTTTTTATTTACTTTTTACTTTTTTTTGTTTAATCCGATTTTGCATAATATAAAATTTGTTTCATATCCATAAAGAGTGGATTCTTTATCCAGAATTCTTAATCTGAAATGTTCTTGTCATATTTGCAGAGACCCATCTGTTTCAAGTGATATGCAGACAGAGAAGGACATTAACTATCAGTTTGAAGTCTATGAAAAGGTAGACTAACATCAATAACTGTACATGCAAACCAAAGAAGAATCTCAAGACTCTTATGAACATTACAGTACAGAAGTTGCAACAAGCACTGTGACAAAATAAGAAACTTAATGTGGGCTTCCTGAAAGAGTTCTTATGGGCACTAAGAAAAGTAATTGTGGAATCCTATAATAAGTGTGGACTTTTTGATTGTGATAGCCTGATTATGTCTGATTTTGTACTTTTGTACTTTTTGCATCTGATTGTTTCTGAGTAGATGTTAATTAAATGGGAATTTTATGTAGATTAAGTTTTAGTGTGACAAACAACCATGATAATGTTTTTTTATGGCAGCTGAAAATTTATGCAAAAGAATTAGGCTTGGAATAAAAGTCTTTTTGTATGACTTTTATGTATACTTAGTGATGTGTTTATATATTCGTCCCAACACCACAAATTTGAGAAATGATGTGTTAAATGCTGAAATAAGTTGCTTTTGGTTTGGGCAGTTAAAAGCATATTGTCCTGCCAGCCACATTTGATATTACTACATGTTATTCCACAAATATGCAGTTATGACTCAATCTTTTTAATGGGCAAACTACATCAATCTCTCAGAAATATAACTTTAAAATTAGAATCCTAAATGTTGTATATCTATACTGCATTTTAAGTAATTTTACTGAATAGCACAGAACAATAGGGCAACCTGCTTTTCAATCTTGTTGCTTTAAGAATTTACAATTTTAAAAAATGCTGTTTCTGTAAAATTCACAATGTTCCCACTGAAAAGTTCTATTCCTTGCAGTGCTTACTATAACCCCCTCCCCTGTCCCCCTATTAGGTAATTATAGAGTGCATTTTAATGAAGAATGAAATGAAGATATAATATATTTTTGTAGGTAAGGGGAAGGTACTTCAGTATATGTGCTGCTATGTGCAGTAATAGAGGGATAGGCAAAAATGGAAGAATAGCATGGCCTTACATTAAGTAAGTACAATACATCATATATGTGGGCATATGTGTAGTAGAGAGCTGCTGTAACACCCTTGCTTTTCTAAACCAGTCTGGATGTTTTCATTTTATTTCTTTTTTCTTTGTGTGCATATCAGAGACAAGGCATGGGGTTTTGGCCTAAAAATTGAATTAACTTGGTGTACATATCCTCAACAATTCTTTTAAGTACTCACTAATCATCACTGTCATTTTTTAAAATCCAGATATACCTTTCTAAGTAGACATTTATAAATAGACATTTTTCAGACTACTTTTCACTTCACTTTCTTTTAGCTATAATAAATGAATGATCACATCAATTCTTTGCCATTTCACTTTGCATTGCAAGTTCAGCAAAGGATATCTTTTTTTACATGGAAGTGGCATATCTTTCAGATGTACGCAGAGACTCTGAAAATAATAAGATTTGATACCAAAATGCCTTATGCACTGTTCCTTTTACTGGTTCAGTTTAGTAGTGGTGATAACATTGGTAGAACTCTCTACTCCATAAGGTTCTCTTAAAATATTCTTTTACCCAAAAACATGTGAAGTAGAGCTAGGGTTCAACATTTTCTTATATTGCATTCTGGAGTTCAGAAAAGCCAGTGAAATTATTCATATTTTCTGGTTTTCACATATTATGATTGTATAGTACCCAGAGTAGCAGTATCACTGGAAACTCTTATCATCACCACAGTTCTGCCGTTTCCTGTACCTTCTGACCAAATACTTCATGCCTTGAGTTCTATGCCAATCAGATCCATGATTTCAAAATTCTTCACAAGAGCTCTGTGATTTTGTATCAATACTAGTATGTAACTGTCTGAAAGTGTGATGCCACTTACTAATTAATGAAAAAGAAAATGAAATTTGATTATCCTAAATTTCAAACAGCATAAAAACATGGCTTCTACTGTTGAACATGTGGAAGAATGAAGTTATTCAAAATGACACAGACATGCTGATGAGATCCCATAACCACTGGTACTCTCTACCAGGGTAGCAGATATTATTGGCAAATTTTCAAAAAGCCAGAGAATCAAATGACTGTCTATTTATCTTAAGACATAAATATCTGTGAATATCTTGTGAAAAATCAATCTGTCAACCTGGAAGAGGGTAACCACTGGGTGCATGCCATTGACGTATTTGGTAAAATGGAAATGGTTGTAAGAAACAGCACTTAATTTTCTGTAAGCATATTAGTGTAACCTTTCTACAAATATTTATCATTATTTTATTGCTTATTAAAACCATTAAGAATGTTATAAAATACATGGTCCATATGCCTATTATTGGTAAAGATACTGTTTGAAAAAAATGAATAATGCTTGCACACATTGAAAGTAATTTAACTAATATTGCAAAAGAATAGCTCATGCTGTATTGTAAGTGAACAACAGGGCTGTGGGTAACCCAGAAATATGAGGTTATATTCACTTGTTATATAACGACACATTTCATGTATACAATATACGTAATATGATAAAGTAGATTTTTTTGCATAGTTTCTTGTATAATCGTGATAAAAAAGTAAATCATTCTATAGAGACTTAACAAAAAATACACACCATGTTTTTTTATTATTTTTCTTTTTGTGATTTCTATAATATTTTAAATAAATGATCCCTTTTGTCAGTCGTGTTCATGTATTTTATAGTATATTGCATGCACTTTTTCAAAATCAGAGCGCACCAATTACTTCTGTTAGAAGGTTCTTTTCAGTCTGTGAAGTACTTCTGTCATGTAACTGTTAAGTTGTAATAATGTATCCTAGCTACCTGTGTAATCTATTGAGATTTATATAGCACATGAATTATTATCATTCATCAATTAATTATAAATTACAATATTATGATTCCGCTCCAAATTTATTCATTAGCAACATGTAACTGGTTAGAGAGAACTGCAAAGTATTTATCAAAAAGATTTTAAATGTATTTTGTCAAATTTAAAGCCTTTTATCAGATCAGATTTTAAAACATTATATTGCTTTTGTTTGCAGAGGAGACTATGAGCATTACATTAACCTGACTTCTGATGTGAGTGATCCAGGTATGTAGGTATAAATATCTTTGTGGTTTTTAAGGTTTAAGACTATTACCAGGCACCGACTTATACAGGCACTTTTACAGATCGATGAAATAGTAGTGTGAAGATTATTGATTAAAGGTATTCAGATTGGTTATATATCTTCAGGCAAGAAGTGTGTCCATATTAAAGGCAAAGTAACTTGGGAAGAAACGGGGCTTGAAGAAAAGTCCAACCCCTCTGTGATAAACGTGGTCATTAGTAGATCTATGAAGTAAGTAAGCTTTAAAGCAAAAATATCAAAAAATCTTTAAGCTGATAATTTTTTTTATCATTATTTTAAAAAAATTATATGCATATTTTTCTGAATTAGAAGTAAACTTGCACAATACAGGTGTAGGGTAGGGTATGGGGGGGGTTGCACTTGGTGGTGTTGGGGGTTATTCTCTATTTCTCTCCCCCCCCCCATTCTGTGACTAAACAGATTTAACAATGTACAAAATGTCCATTTTTTTGTAAGAGAAGATACATTGTATTATCTTACATGATTTTTTCTATTCAGTGAAAGGCCAGAGTATGTGGAATATATTGCCAGGAGCCTGGATGATGCTGTGCAATATGTGACATCTCCACCATTATGTGACCAGGTGGAGAAGATTTGGGTGATGGGGGGAGAAATGGTCTTCAAGGTGGGTCATTTTCATTATTTGTCTCAATTTGTTTAAAAGGAAGTTGTGTTTCATAGAAAATACATCGTTTGAATAGTAATTCCTACCAAAACATAAAAAATGACATAGAAAATGCAATTTTTATTTGTCCCTTAGCAAATGTTTGCTCTGAAAACCTGTTTTACTGGAATAATAATTAGTAAAATAAATAAATTTATAAATTATTATAACAATAAAGTTACCACATTTTACAGGAGGCAATTGGATGCACCAACTGTAGAAGAATTTATCTTACAAAGATTTACAGAGATTTTGATGCTGACACCTTTTTCCCACCATTTGAAGACATATACCATGAAATAGAGTATGTATGTTTGTCATGTTATGCTTAAATATATTTATATTTATTCCACTTTACTACTGTGCCTGTTTAACAACTGTGATGCAGTATTCCTTTACATTATTTTTTAAGTTGGTCCGGTGTTCACACTAAAGACATTTTCTTTTGGGTGTGGTAATTTTTCAAACAAGTCTCTATAATGAATTGAGAGTATTTTAAGTTTAATGCATGTTTAAAATGTATTTAAGATAAACACGACACAATTATTCTACAGATTTTTTAAAAATTAATCCTTTTACTTAAAAATATTGATATATTTTTATTTGCCTTTTCAGAACTTCTGATGTCCTTCAGGATAGTGGCATTAAATACCAGTTTCTAGTGTTTGAAAGAAGCACAATATCAGATAGAATACGAAACTATCTGAAGAATAAATAAGGAAAGTCACGTGTTAATATCTTGTTCTCCAGCTGCTAGCGCCCTCTTTGTTTTAAGTGTTTGGCTAGTGCACCATACAGTGCTGGCATCTGACGGTAAAAATAGTTAACAGTCTGGTGCTGACCTCTAACGGGAAAGTAATTTACAATGAAAAGATACTATTGGGAAATATAAAGAACTTTATTGGAAATACTTGGTAGTTAATTTAATTTTGATTGTCTTAATTGTTTTGTGACACAATATGACAAAAGTAACATGGCTTAGTTTTTGTAGGAAAATGTGCAGCGTTTAGTTAAAGAAGCATACATATTTAAGTTACCTATCACTTATCTAAACACTCGTTTTAAAGTCTGGGAAACATCTAGTGATAGTTTGCCGACTTTCGATAGTGCTAATAAAATATTTACGTCCATTACCACTCTACTGCCATTACGAATCCCAGACGTACCGACCGAGTTCAAAGCCGCGCTTGTTTATTTACCGCCTGTGCAAACTTTTCACCTAAACAAGATCGAAGACCAGAACAATTTGCACAAATTGGTGCAAAATGTTACTAACAATTATTCTTAAGTGAAGAATTTACTTGATCGAATCCCGACACAATTTCGCTTAATTAGCTTCGAGTCGTTCAGCTATTCGCCCGACTTGCCCGTTGCAGGTCAGAAAGTGTTTAAAACTCTGGCAAATAATAGTGGAGCCTCCATCGACATGAGTCAGTCGATATTTGTTGCTCTAATTGCTTTAAAAGACCACGGCATAACTCGGTAATTAACAAGCAGGATGGAAATGAAGATTAATGGATTGTCGATTACTTGCTAATGCGAAAAGTGCGAAGTCTCCAAGCTTTGTACTGGTGGGTGTGAGCGTGCGACCTAGGTGGTACGGCGGGGGAGCCGGCTGCCTAGGTGGTTATCTGCAGGCATTCTAGACCCTTTCAAACTCACAGAATATGTTGCTGTTCAATATCTTCCGTTCGATTGCACGGACACAACGGGGGCATCCTGCCCGACTTCCCCGACACAACGAAGTTAATCGGCTTTGGGCTGTCACTCACACTATCTGTCAACATCCAGTTTGATTGACGCATTCTTCGGTCGGCTTTGAAGTCTACTATTAACGGGGGAGGCGAGAAAACAACGCTACTTAGAAATTTAAGCCGCGGGGTCAAGGCGTAGTAAAATAGGCTTGGTTTTCATATCGATAAACCCCTACAGAAGGCTCATTTTCTAGTGTGCGTTTTATCTTGCATTCTGATCCACGAAATAAAAGACCCGGGTCCCCCTTTTTCTCCTCCCTGGTGAACGAATGCCATTAGCGAAGTGTCACTTGGCTCACAGGGGTTCTCAAGTAGATTGATGGAGAAGGCGGGGTGTCTAAACAGTTCCCTTGTACCACTTGACACGTCTGATAGGGCTTAATTTACTTAAAGCCTCTGCGTTCCGATTACTATCAAAACACGGCGGCCAACATCAAAGGCGTCCTGCGTAGCCTACCGTCTCGTTTGGGCAAGGGAACGTAACAATTTGCCCACCTCTTCGCATTTTTCAAAGTCATTTAACCTCGTGATCACATACATAGCGTCCGTGAGACGCTTTTCACGCCATGTAGAGATAACATAGTTGTGCTGATCAGAGTTATAACCCTCACCTATTGAAGTGTGTAAGTCTGAAGAGAGCACGTCACGATCGCAAGTATTTGTAACCCTACACCTTGAGGAACCCCCACCTCGACACAAACAGGCCCTATGGAGCTCTGCAGCACAATATGGAAACTATGCAGACAGGCTTTAAATTCTGTACGCTAGGCTGGACCCAGCTGTTGTACATTTTATCACAACATTGATCAGTCCTAGATGGATAGGGTTGCTCTTTTATTCCAAAAACGTGCTGTAGATAAATTAATTAACAATCGCTTTAAAACTGCGGCAGACATCTTTGAACGCTCTGCTTTAAACTAATTCAAGTTAACAGCTGCATTGCTAGGCTTTTGCTATTGCACGTCTGTAAAAATACTACATGACACGAAGGTGGACGTCTGTCATTTGTCTTGTTCAACTTCAAAGGTAGGGGCTGACCTGTGAGTGCGCAGAGCCGGTGTATGTGTGGCCCCGCATGACAACGGAGGTCAGCTCCGCATGAAATTTAAGTCAGTGATTACGCTATAATGTTGTTGCAATTTTCCTGTCAAATAATCATACTGAAGTACAGTTTTAGACGTGCCTCGGGGCGACATGTGCAAGTAATGAGTCCCGTAGTCAAGTTCCCGCCCTACGGGTCAGATTGTTCAGAAATTAAAGGTTGAGAACAAAGGCTCTAAAGTTGCTCCTTCAATGCTTTAATCACGCTAGGCAAGACTCCATGCAAGGGGGACATATAGTATTTATTATGGGCGATAAGCATCCATACAACGGGCTTTGAAGCCGCCGCTTAATTGTCCTATCTGTCAACATAAAGCTGTCAACTCTTTCAACACGTCAGCCCCAATCTGTTTCCAAACACCCCAACTCGTGGGAGATTGATTGATAACCGTCCCTTTGCCTTTGATCCCGTCCGCGGGCCCCATATACAACCATTAGCGTCAAGCCAGGGCTTAGTTTTCATCCAAATTTAATGCCGTAAGTTTACGAGGAGAACCCAGACGGATACAAACTTCCATCTCCTACAGGATCGGCTTTCAAATTCTTTGTTCACGCACAAATTGCGTATACTTTCAGCGATTAGAATTACCAATTCCGTGTGGTTTATCCTTTATTTGCCTCTCTTCAAGTGTATACACGAAGAACTAAAGCTGACATAAATCAAGCATGATTGACGTGCGGCTCATCAACTTGATTGATCACAGTCGGTGCAAGAGGTGTCTGGCCAACTGCCAAAGCGATTTGTTAATGCGCAAGCTGATTGGTTAGTGTTGAGTCACATGGTGATTTATCGTGGGTCCCATTTATCATCCTTGACGTCATGGGGCGCTCATCCGCCAATCACAGCAGGACTTCACCCTTAATTTACGATTTGATTGGAAGGCGGCATGAGCCTTTCATCTTGGAGTAATTCACAAGTGTTGTGGGCAAATTTATGTTGTGTATGCTGTCTAGCTGGGCGGCATGCTTCAATAAGATCTGTGTGGCTTCCAGCATCCCTATCAGTGAGTAGACTGACAGCGAGCAGAGTACGACGTGTGACCGGGTGTGGAAGACGACCACGTAGCGTGGATATTAAACACACTGTAGCAGGCGCAGTCTATTCTACCACCACCATTTTCTAGGATGTTAACGTCGTCGACATCGCAGTATTTGCATCCCGATTATTTACAACCTCTACCAACCACGGTAAGTGTTCTCGATACTCTTTGAAAGTGGCGTGTCGTCTTCTTTTTTTCCCGTGAAAATTTCGAGAACCAGTACCATTATTTTACACAATGTAGGCCTATGGACGTTAATTGAAAATGAAGACATTGATTATATATTCAGCATTTTCCATATTAAAAAGGATTTCAGTTATTCTTCTAAACATGGACTGTGTACCTATTTAATTTTATTTCCCCTCCTGAATACCAGATAAATTTGGCAAGTGTGTGTGCGCTGTGAAAATTTTTTTTATCATAAATCTAACAAAATATGGGCGAAAAGATACTTCTCATATAAATCAAAGTGGTATTTTTGTTTTGATTAAAACTTGTTCGAAATTATATTCTTTTAAAAATATTTATTACAGTTAGATGCAAAGAAGAGTCCACTGGCACTTCTAGCTCAAACGTGTAGCAGTATTGGAAAGGATACCACTCCAAGTAAGCCTATAATTCCACCTTTAGAGAAAAAAGATCATGGAAAAAATTCACCAGAGAAGCAGAGTCCAGGCAGCGAAAAATCCCGCTCAGAGAGAAAGGAGACATCCAGTGCGGATTCCTCCAAACAATATCGCTCTGCACCGCCAAAGGATATCCCCCCTCTAGTGCCAATAGCAAATCCAACGGAGAAGTTTTCAAAACCTTCCGCCGGCAGCCCGCACGCCAAAGCGAGCACAGAAACCACGTCTTCTACGAGCACTGTGCCCAGCCATACTACCAATAACTCTACTGCCGGGGCCCAGAGCAGCAGCAGGATTAGTCTCAGTTGTGGAAATATGTTACTGGAAGTAAACCATCAAACATCGGCCGCTAAATCTGGGCTTCCACCGCCGCCACCGGCGCACTCGGCAGCGGCATACGAGGCCGCTAAGCTCGGACACTATTTTCCTGGACTATCAGCCGCCTCGGCCGCGGGTTTGCCGTACCCCGGCTACCCAGCCCACTTACTGGGACACTCTTTACCTGGCCTGGACCCCGGCCAGTCATATCGGTCGGCGCTGGCCGGGCACGGACTAGGACTTGGATTACATTCTGGTCTCGGCTTAAAACCAGAACTCCCATCAGCGACTGGGGGTCACTCCTCCTCTCTGCCCTCGCCATACGTCGCTTATGCCACTATAAAGACGGCCACGGGGGCCAATACCCTTGTTCCCATTTGCCGCGATCCATATTGTACAACATGTCAGATCAACCTCCAGAGCGCGCAACTGACGTGTTGTGCCTCCGGCTGCACGCAATGTAATCATGAGAAAGGACTTCCCGTACCAACCAGTCACAGTTTCTCCAGTGCTGGGGGCACTTCTCTTTCTGTCCCAGTTTTAGCGTCCATAGGAGGGCTCGGCGCCGGGAGCTCGCTGCCGGCCACGTCCTTGGGTTCCAATATCTATTCACACGGTCTCAGTGCGGCCCACCACGGTCTGCCCTATGTGTGTAACTGGGTGGCCGGGGCCGAATATTGTGGGAAAAGATTTTCAACTTCAGAAGAACTCTTGCAACATTTACGTACGCATACATCTAGTTCTGAATCAGCATATTCCTCATTTGGACTGCCCTATGGACTTGGTTTTCCTTCTGGCAGCAGTTTAAGTGCGTCTCATCCACACTATCCAACGCCAGGCTCTCTGAGCCCGAACACATTAAGGAGACTGTACCCCACAAGTTTAAGCCCAGTTAGCAGGTACCACCCCTATTCCAAACCCCCGGGTCTATCCGCTCTGACCAGTACCCCTGTGCCAGGAATGCCCCTGTCTTCAGCGGTGGGGGCCTACTACTCTCCGTATTCACTGTACGGACGGGCGGCAGCCGTAGCACCATAATTATGTGAACGAACTCGTATTAAATGCCATAGTTTAAATAACTGTACATAAGACTGTATATATTCACGTGTCAAAAATATTTTTTGTTCATTGTTAAATATGTGACTTTTCATACTTATGCCTTTTTGCTGGGCAAGCCTTTGTGTTCACAGACTTCTAAAAGTCTATAAAATCTCCTAGATGTCAGAAAAACTCATTTATGTTACTTTTACGTCGGCCTTGGGGCGTAAGAAGTTGCTGAGGTCAATGAAAAGTGACGGGTACGGTGGTATACAGCTTGGCTTGAGAGATAAAGCAACTTGGGCTGACAGTTTCAGCAGGCTCGGCGCTCTAGTCTCCCGCAGGAAGGCCGACGGCAAGCAGCGAAAAGAATAACCCTATCAAACTTCCCATTATACTCAAGTGAAAACAGAGCAACTGACTTTGACATGCTGTGAAGAAAGATAAATTGTCAGAAACTGCCGCGATGATTTATAATCGCCTTTGAAGTTTCATGTAGACTGCTGGTAATTCCTGTTAATTACCGTCACTGTACCATGCCCTTTCAAAGAGTCGATCATAAATCTGCTATATCTGACGGTGAAGAAATAAACCTTTACGCCGCCCTATGTGATTTGTGGCCATCAATTAGAGACAGGACTTTTCGTAGAATATGTTCTGTAGAAAAAATGGGCTGTTTGAGAGTTGCGTGTAAATATTTACTTCTCTCTTCGGCAACTTCTCCATAAATTTCTTCAAGTTTTTTCTTTGATGATCGAAGCAGAGTAGACGTTCTTGACTTATGAGCTCAACCTTTGGATTTGAGCGTTAACAGTTTGCCAAACAATTACATTTTGTATGATGTCATGTATCTAAAAGAAAACTAAATATAAATGTGTCAAAATGAACAATGTTGTTTAGTTTTTATAATAAAAAGAAAAATGGATGTTCGATTTAAGTATAACGCGATTGTTTCTTGAGTGTTTACAATTGATTGATTTGCCGCTCCAGTTGAACTCCGAGTCGAGTACACAGCCAGTAAATTGACGTTACTTTTTCGGAGAGGAGAGAAGCTAAAGTTTCAGAACTTTTACACGCACTTGATGTAGCATGTGATTGGAGTGGGCACCGAATGAAAGAAAGATTCACCTGTCAGATCAATTTGACAACGCGTTGGTCGCCGGCTTTCATTGAACAAGATTAAGATAGGCTTCCCCGAGATTATAATGACACGTATACTAGAGTTCATCAGTTAAATTTTTGGTATATGAAATATATTGAGAATTTCTCACAGTAATTTTATTTTCAAATACCTTGCCAGCTAGCGTTGCATGCATTACAAAATCTCTCTGACAGGGAGTGGGTTTATCCTCTCAGCGACTCCATTATTTATAGAATAGCCTTTGAATAAGTTAATATTTTATCACCACATAAATATTTCACATAAAAAAGACTTGTGTTGTCCAGCAATCAGCATGTTCTTGCGCATTTAAATGATTTTTATTTAGAAGAAAAACGGACAATTCTCCACAAAAAATGCCATGATAATAGTTCTTTTCTCACAACGTTAACTTGGGCCAATTGTTGAGAAATAATGCACTTCAAAGGAAAAATGCCGGTCGGCCTCGGGCGTCAATTTTATTGAACAGCTCGAGGTTCATGACAAGAAAAAATAACAACATTAACACACTCCAAATAGCAAATGTTTAGCGAAAATAAACAAAAACAGGGAAAATGTAATTTGCTGCATACGGTAGTCTAAATTTGATCTGGACTGCCTTTCATGTTCACTTCACTTCAGTAAATGAGGGCCACTGTTTAAAGTGTATGCTTAGCTTCTACCGATAATACTCCCCACACCTTCGGACCTGGGAGTCGGGAGATGATTGACAGCGCGCCCTTCCACTGGCGATTTTCTATTTACACACTGATCAACCTAGCAGTAGGTGTTATGGTTATCTGCTCTACCGCGACGCGGGACTACCGCCCAAGCATCAGGCGTCTCCTTTTGAAGTGAGGCACCCCGGCCACGAAACAACTGATGAAAACGAGAGCCGTCCTTCGCTCAATTAATGGGTACAGAACTTCAAATGTTTAACATTTTCTTGAGAAGAGTGTGTTGCCCAATAGCTTGGCGGTGTACCGGTGCAGGCATACACAGATAATTTATGAGGTGCCCGAGAGAGGGGAGCCGCGCGCTCCTGATTTACACAAATTTAGTAGCGAGATCTGTCGAGATAAAAAGGAAGATAAAAGCGGCAGCATTATAAACGGGGCAAAGTAAATCAAGTCGCAGATATGTTGATATGTACAGTCTAATCGTGACATTTGTAATACGAGGGCAACCCCATGTCGTTTCAATCTCATATTTTGTACATTTGACGGTATGTTTTACTATGGAAAAAAGACATGAAGAGCCCGTCATATAAATTACACGGGAAGAAAGCGGATGCGCTGCACAGCGTCGGCTAAATTACAGCAATTGACAACATGAAGTAGCGGCGCCTTTTTGAGACTTTTAATGTGGTCTAGAATCTTGTGTCTGAACAAAAAAAGAAAAGAAAAAAAAAAAACTCTTGAAGGTGGTGACGGTAGTACCAGTATGAAGCTCTAGCACACTAAGGGACAAAATACATCAGTTGATAAACACCAAGTTTACGGCTGGGCGTCAGAACCCCGCTCTCCCGGACCTCGGCTACTCATATCCTGTTCGTCATCCTAAAAATATTTTCAATAGCACTTACACAATATGATCTAATGACACACGAGTTCAAACTATTTGCTATACAAAATTAGCGACAGTAGTTCTGAAAGAAACCTCGCTTGGCATTTCATGAAATCTACCTCCACACAATGAATATTATATCCTTTTTTGTATATTCTCGTGTTCGTCTTCCCATTGAGATACACTGCAGGAAAAAAGCTGGTACGGCGCATCAACTCGAGAAGGATTAATCATTTGAAAAACCTTTTGAACCTTTGAAATACGCTTGGTTTGTCCTATTGGCTCTACGTACCTAGAACATTCTCTATTAATAAGCAGTGACATATGAATGTATTAGATTTGATCTAAGCTATTCACTGGCGAGGCTTCTCCAAACATCGCTGTGACATTACAAGGAATAAGGCCAATAGATCTAATCGATGGACATTTCCCAGCGGAGAGCGTTTTACTATTCAGAAATCAAATGGAACTTGTAGAAAACCGATTAAATGCACAGAAATGAGGAGACGAATCTGGAGTCTTGATTTCCCCTCTGATATTAGGAAAAGTAACACTGTAGACTTATTTTACGCCCTTTCTTCACATTATTAGTGAGAGAAAATAGACTAGTGTTTCTGATAATGGCAACATCCTGATTTCTTTATTCGTGGCATTAACTTGATGGAACGCGCTTGCTCTGTGTTTTTCTCTCTCAAAATAAAAAATATATACTCCCCTGTCTTACTTGGCAAAAAGATCAGATATTCTAATCCTTAAACAGGTTATTCACATCGTCAGGAAATTTCAAGCTTTACAGAGCATTTTCCTGAGACGAGCGTCTAGTATTTCCGCCAGCTGCTTTGATACAATACCGTAATCAGTACTTATTCACAAGGAGGTTAATTTCAGCTCATTCAAATAAACACCTTTACTGGTGCTAGATTTGAAACCTGTCAATCAAAGTAAGCTTCAATTATTCCTGGTAATTAGGAATGGTCCTCAATTATCTCTCATATTAACTGGCTTTATCTGGTTAATTGAGCAAGAATTTCAAGGCAGCATGGCACACAGACAAAATGCTCCTTATTCAACGCTCATATTGTACTTTTAAATTCTCTCTCTCTCTCTCTCTCTCTCTCTCTCCAGTATTGTTATTGGCAGCTTTCAGTAACTTATCAGAATCAAGATATTTTTTTGCTAAATGCTGCATAATAATAAAACTTATCATTTATAAGATAAACACTAATGCTGAAAGTTTTTTAACCCAAGAACTGTATTCATGATTCATATTAGAGTTGGCTAACATGTTTCTTTCAGATTTTCTATTCATCACATAATTTCACCATGTTGCCATGACACCTGTCTCTGGCCATCAGTGTGTGCAGCTTGCTGGCAAATACCTCCCCTTTACTTCTGCATATGTTCAGAATAAAGTACAGCTAACTAAATATGTGGGTGCTTTGTCAGCCTCACAACAGATGCACATATAAACAATTATGTCAGTTATTCTGATGTAAACTAATGCAGGAAATATTCAATATTGAAATGTACTTTATTAAATGTTACTTGAGGAAGCAATATACAAATAATCAAAAGTTTCTTCTAATATGTTAAGTTTACAAATTTGAGGCATTTTAAAGTAAATTTTTCTTTTATTTAAATGTTTCTTAAAATAATAATAATGATAATAATATATATTAAATACTCAAGCTCAGGGAAGTGATGAAAAAATAATTAAATGTATTTTGCTTTAATCTCCATATAAATTTCCTCTCACATTCTGTATCTACAGATTTAAGGCACTTTCAAGTAAATTTGTTGTAATATTAACAATGCTAATAAATACATAAATATAAGTTAAAGAAAGTGACGATGGCGTGAAACAAAAAAATAATGAACTGCACTCCATTTCACCCTCCATATAAAGTGACCTCTGGTTCCTGACAATGCCGGCTGTATCCATTACAAGCCTTCTGCCTGTATCTGCATGGATCTAAAGCTTTGCACAGCTGTAGGAAGATGTATGTGCATAGTCCACCAACTAATGGCTCTATACATCATCTGGTCTATAATGTAACTGGGTAAGTACTGGCTCATCTATCATCCCATACAGCAGAACTCTTGCACAGAACGGCTCCTGATGAGATCCAGTCGGCAGGGGTCGTTAGGCCCCTATAGCGACAAACACAGCATTGCTCGAATTAAAAAGAAATATTAGATTTGGCTTGATGTTGATTTATTGCACATTATTAGATCAAAGGGAGATGGCAGGACAAACAGGATGAACTCTAGTTGATATAATTTTTGACTCAGCGTGGCTTAAGTGATGAGCTCATCAGTTCACGGGCTCCCCCTTGACTACTCACACCCTATTCAAAGACATAATGAGGCAGAAAGATAGATAACTCTTCTTGGTCCATCTATTTTCTCTTTGTAGCTTGCTGGGTTTTTGACATCTGAGAGGTTTTTTTACAGGGTCTGCTATGTGATCACCTCAGGTACGACCATCCATCACCGATGGAAGCACACCAGGCTTTTGTCTTACCAGTGGGTGGAACGTAGCTCTCATGAATCACAGCCTTCAATGCCACTCGCATACAGGAACAGACCGAAGAGTGGCGGAGAAAACATCTGAAAGAAAGATTGAGGAAAAGAATAAGCATTCCAAACAAGGTTTGCATAGGAATAAAACATATGGAATAAAAGTTCACACTGATGTCTGTTACTGGCTTGATTGATGTTCATAAAATAGGAAATTTCTGTTATTTGTCCATGCTTACTGAGCTCATTGTACAATATATTGCTCTGGGTTCAGGGATACAATGACAATAGTATCTGGTTTTAACAGAGAAAAAACATGTTATCATACTCTATACCATTTGGATCTCAGCCACCTTTAATGCCATCACCAAATCATTTAAACACATCAATCTCCTTAAATTCACCGTATAATTTAAAATAATCAAATAATATCTGCCCACTGTGTAAAGACATATTGGTCTCAACTATCAAAGGCATATTCACATACATTAATGATTTGCAATTTTAACAGTAATAACTTGGTTGGCACTCAGTGTTGTTTTTTCTCATAACAATGAATAGTCTTCCCTGGGTGCTATTTCTTCTTCCTACAATAGATCATGCCAAAAATAACTGCTTCTGACAATCATAAATCCCTGTATCTCGCATATATCTCTGATAAAATATGGCCATCATAAAGGGCAATTGTCTTTGTCACTGAAAAAATGGGGCATCTGTATTTATGATATAAAAACTTATTATCTCTGTCAAAGAGGTAATATTTTTTTTTACCTCTGTTTATCAGTTTTAAAGCTGTGTCTACGTGATTTAATTCAAAGTCACTGCAATTTTTTTCATTTGTTTTTCATTAATGTCAAAAGCAGAAAAATATGATTGTAATTTTGATACTGGGGTGATATTTTTTGAAAGTAGTTTCAGTAGCTTTTGAGAATACCATGAATCGGTCAGGTCACAATTTTTTTTGTGAAACCTCGAAGATGAAAAAAATTTCATATGGAAAACGGCCCTTGATCATAGGCAAATTTCTTTTCTCTTCTTTCTGAAAAAATTATTGTCCAGTCAAAGTAAGGATGGTGACTCTTCTACCTGACATACCTTTCTGACACTGTTTTAGAAATATAGAAATATCTCCCATGAAAACAGAGTTACCATGACCCATGAAAGTCAAGGTAATTAGCTGCCAGTTATTTTTATTTCAGACTTCAAAATGTTCTGCCCTGCAGATACAGTTTATATTGTTTTCTGGACTCGTATCTCAGTGGAAAATGTTCCAAATCAAACAAACGATGTATGTCAAAAATACCTTTGTTTTATTTGGAACATTTTCCACTGTTTTAAAGGAGATGTTTTCATAGGTCAACTAAGTATCTTAACACATCAGCTGTTTGATGTAACATGAAAGGGTTGATTTGGATTAATATATCAACATACACAATTTTTGCTTAATTTACATCCCTTAATATACCTTTTAAAACCATTTAACTAGCTGAAGGTTTTGGACAAGTAAGCATTATTCTTAAATGCAAAAATCATCTTTTTTTTGTTTGTGACAATCCAAATCAAATGGCATTAAAATGAAATGTTAATTATAAACTGAATTATGGCCTTTATATTATATAAAAGTGCCAATGATAACTTTGAATGGCTCATGGGCAGGTGCTTTGTTAATATTCCATTTGATTAATATGTAACATGGGTAAAATGTAAGAGACACGGCTGACTAGAAATGGGCCGAATCTAAATGTTTCAATGGGCGATGTCCATGACCAACACATTCTAACACAATGACTGACTGCTTAATGTTTTTTGGTGTACCACGTAATTTTCTGATTATTCTTCCACCTTCAACATTTTTTAATTACTGGTTCCAGGTGTAAGGTGGTACTTAACATCTCCATAATTCACTGACGCATATGTTACTTGTCATTGCAGTGTTTTAACTGGCCCAACTGGAGACTGGAGCTATAAGTGTGGTTTGCAGAGGCGTGATAATGAAATTTCAACTGATCTTCAAAGGAGTTTTACAGAAGGTTTATCTTGACTCATACTATTACTCTTTGTAGTTAATAACTACCTGTCATAACTAATGGTAGTGAATTAAGGGAATGACGGACTGGGAGGCCTATTTGATGGGATTCGAGGAACTGAAATTTGTGGCAGTGGACACTAGATAACTGTGACTACTTTCTGATGATGGTGAAAAATGACATGGAATGACCAGGAAATGAAGTGGTTATACAGCATCAAGAAGGAATTGTCTTTTCATTGGTAATTGCAAGGGTGTACAGTAACCATACTAGGCGAAAAACTCTACACTATTGATTAGTATGGATTGCTGTTCCCTTTCTGAAACAGACCTATGGTAGAAATTCATTTTATATTATTTCTCTACAGTATACAAGAAACAGTTTTCATTCAAATTCATGAAAACATCAATTGCCTTTACCAGATTGGATATCTACATAAAGTTATAGTAAGCCACTTAAGTAAACAACATTTTGTAAATTAAACAAGACTGCAACTGTTATCAGATTTCCAAAGTGTTCATCAAATCTCTAAGAACTACTTGTAAATGCCTCTACTCTGGGTTTGTAGGACAACCAGATCAAAGGAAAGAGGCTGTAATCTGACAATGAACAAAAAATTAAAGACTGGTGGTGCATTTCTGTACAGACTACAAATAATTTTTATCAGAAATGTCCCAAGCTCAAGTGATTAAGCCAAATCCCCATAAATCACTCCCCTCTTCTATGTTGGAACACTTCAAAGCATTCATAATAATTACAAAGCTTCTTAGACAGCCCGGCTTAGTGCTGCAAAGGAGTTAATACTGGAGATAAAACTGGGAAGATTTATTTCTCTGACTGAATTGACATTTTTTGTATCATTCACTTGTTAATTTCAGTGGTTTATGAAGGGGGGATGGAGAAAAGTGAGGAAAGTTACCAAAAAAATGTCTGTTGAAACAAAATAAAATGCTTCCCCAAAATAGTGATTAAACAGGTAAAATGTGTCAATATAAATAGAAGTAACGGTTAACTTCTGGCTAACAAGACAAAATCAAACAGGGAAGTATTTTTGGTGAACAGGCAATGTAGCAGAAAAAATTTAACAAAACAAAATTTTTTTAAAACATTAAAATATTTGGATTCATGTCTTTCTTTGAGTTAACAAGAGTTAAGCAAGTCAATACAATACACTTATTAACTGTGTCTGGATGCTGTTCATCATGACAATCAGTTTTAAAACTAAATTTATTTCTGAAATAGAGGAAAAAAGCTGCTTCCACCGCCCACGGCCAGTTTTCAGCGTTGGTTCCCATGTGTCATGGGGTCTCGCAGGTTGCCCCTGGCGACACTGACAACAGCCGAAAAGAATTCCATCATTTCTGCACTATGGATTGCTGTACCTGCATCTAAAACTCATTATGGCCAACATCAAAGCGCCTCCGTCAGTGACTTATTGAGGCACCTGACATTCAGCTCCATTTATTGGAGTGTAAACAACATTATTAATGAGCAATTAAATTTCATTATGGTCAAAACATTTTGCTTGAGTAATGTAGAATTCCTTTGACTGGCGGATATACATATATTTTCCCGGCTTAATGGTATCCATCTGGTGAACTATACTGTCCTAATTAATCATTTAACACAGAACATATTGTACACTAGGATTTGTATCGTCACTCAGTCTGAGTATGGGGGACTTTTCACCTGCAGGGCCACCATATTACCACAGTGGGTTTTAAAAATAGACTTCACAAAGACATGTCTAAATAAAATGGAAATCATAATGTTTGTCCTACATGTTGAATAGAAAACAAAGCCAAAATGAAGAAATTAAATGATAAACAAGAATGTGAGGGCAATAAATTACAGGTTATAAATCAGATTCTTACCACTGATCCATTTAAGATAACCTAAACATCTCTCCAACATCAAGATTATGAAATATTTTATCAGATGTCAAGTTTTTCTCTATATATTTACCTCTCTACTAAATTACAGCCTTTGTCATCTATTACCACTATCACCTAATTATCATGCTGAACATGGCCATTAATCTTCCGCCACTACAGCTTGGTGGTACCTGCTTATCCAAGATTATATGCCATACAATCTACCAGCCCTAATCACAATGGGGAATTAATTTTGACTGGAGAGAATCATTTTGATATCTTCTGGTGGTATCCTATAATTACGTCTCCATAAACCTGTCAATAACAAGTAATGGTGGCAGTTTGCGCTGGCTCCTGCAGACGACAGCGGGGTTCTTCTGATGGCGAGGAAAAAATTATGAATGATAACCCCTCCAGAAATGTGTGCATTTCTTATGTTTTGTTCAAATAACACACACCTAATGGGCATTAGTTGCTATTTTGACATCAAATGAAAGATAAGGCCTCCTCTTAGCAAAGAGCAAAGTATTATGTTAAAGTTCAAGAATATCCCAGACAGGCATGGTAATGAATTAAAACTAACTTGACTTTTTATTCTTTTGGGTTCTTTACATGGTGTTTTAGTTGAGTTACAAAATCTAACATTTTAAACATGAAATACTGGACATGTTATCTCTTTATATGTAATTTTGGTGCTATTTATCCATGTTTTTTAGCATTAACACTATTACTTTATCTCTGTAAATTTTCACCAGCTCAGTTTGAAATTAATGTAGCCACCAAAGTCTTAATTCACACTTTGAACGTTAAAAGGCCGTATTTTGTACAACTATTCTTAAAGCAAGAATAGAAAATTTATTTCCAACCCAAATGAAGCAAAAACAGCCTTCATCTCCAGTTTAAACCATAGAGTACATGTGAGTCAAGTCAAGTTGGTTTTATTAAATCCATTTGGTTGCCTTAATTGGCTAATTTGAGTGAGACCTGTGGCACAAAATGTGATAATTCATTTTCTAACTATTCCAAGTTCTTTGAAGCATAGAGTATCCAGAAAGGGTAAAAGCTTTCCCTCTTTTTTAAGCAGCCAAGCTGTGGTATGTAGTGAGGCACCCATCTTTCCACACTGTCTTAATGACAGACAGTTACCAAGGCTCTAATAAAACCCCATCTGACAGCAGCTATCAGCAGT